ACTTGAGGGAGCTACTTTCTACGATAGAGGACCAGATGGGGAGGAAAATCCGTGAGCAGATTGAAGAGGCTCTAGACAACAGGGACGACAACCAAGTGATCAACGTGAGGGAGCTCTTGTCTGACATCCAGGATGAGCTTGGCTCCTCCTACTTCGACTCCTTGCTGCGGAATGACGAATCCTCGCAGCAAAGCGGAACTACTCAAAAATGAAACTTCATAATAAATTAATACAATATCAGTTGGAGGGGGGGGGGGAGGTGGGGTTTCTTCCCACACTTCTAAGAGGGAGCTTCAGTGTGCCAGAAAAAAAATTACCTGCAGATGTTAATACCAACCAAGAGTCGAGAATAGTTCTAGTGGGTTACAACGTGCCGAAGTAGGGAGCAATTTTGTAGTAGTTCTGGAGAACTATTCGGTTGTCCATATTGGCTTTCACATTACCTTGTAACGGGTTCATAAAGAAGAAGTAATTTCCGAACGCTAACTCTGCGATTGATTGCATGAACGCTTTCACTGGAACTCGAATTTTTTGCTCACAAATGTCTGTCAACGACCCACCCACGTTGCTCACAACCTTCTAAAACGAAAGCAAAGTCAGTTTTCATACCGTCCTCATTACTTTGAATGAAGAGTTATTTATTTATTTATTTATTTATTTCTCTCCTCCTCTTATTTTTCCTTTAAAGTCATTCTTATTATGATTATTATTATCGTTATTCTTCCCCCCACAGCAGCAAATGTATCAAAAGGTCAAGAGCCAGGCACTGGCATCATGGGTTTCAAAAAAGCTAATTGCATGAAGTCAAGACAGGGAGTATGGAGAAGCCTGGTGTTGGACCACAATGCAGTGTCCTTTCCTCAACAAACTACAACACATGCTAATATTAAATTGAATACAATTTAATATTAGCATCTATTTAATACTCAATATTTAAATCTGTTTGAGGTTTTTAATAATTAAAATAAATAATATAATAAATCATTTAAAAATGAAAATAAAAAATTTGTTAAAAATAAACTTCCATATATATATATATATATATATATATATATACACAATATTACATATTAAAACTACTTTTTCATGTAATGATTTATTGTTCCTTTTGAAAGAAGTATTTTTTGCACAAAGAAAAATCCATAAACAATAAAAATAACTTTAGTAGAATTTTAAAAAATAAATAATCAAATAACAATGTGCTTAAACTTCTTTTGATATTTATACACTTTCATTTTGTGTACTTTCAATCAAAATCTCATAAAGTAGATGCAGAATACATAGAATTGAATATCACATCATGAATTGAATCCAGAAATTGACCACAACAACACAATAATACATGCAAGTAAATTCTCTGAACGAGAGAACAAACGAACGAGATCATGTGGAAGGAAGATTGAAGAAGGTCATGTCTCCACACCATCGTCCTGGTGGGTCTGGACGTACGTCGTGTGCGTCGGTCGTCCTTGGGTTTCATTTATGCACGTACGTCGGGTTCCCCTTCTGGGTCAATTCCACGTCAATCCAGGGTTCCCCAAAAGAACCCCCCCCACAAGAAGAGTACATTCATGCATGGACTTAGAGTGGGAGAACATTACACGAAATAAGTAAGTGAGCAGTAGTAGCAGCAGCAGTAATACTAGGAATGAGGAGCCCCCCCCCCAGCCTGCTCCTCCGCCCTCCCTCTTGCGGCGCGAGTGCCTTCGGAATGGGAAAGCGTGCCGACGTCCTCGCAACGTCACGCTCATTTAAGGGGGTTGGGGGCGGGGGCGGGGGCAGGGGCATCCATCTATCCATCCATCTATCGGCGTGAGGCGAGACTTTGAGTTGGGACGCGGAGATGCGCCATCCATCTGTCCTGTGGAGGAGGTGGAACGGGAGAGAGTGTGCTGCTATGATCATGCTGATGCCGATGCTGTTGTTGTTGTTCGTTCAGTGGCTCTGATCTCGAAACGGAGACTGGCACGGGCTCCCCATTTCGCATTTCGCATTTCAATGCGCGGTTCCGCCCTGCACAGCCCTCCCACTCCTCTTAGGGTTTCATGGGGACGGTCCTCAGACGGACGAACGAACGAACGAACGATCGGACGAAAGTGGACGAACGGACGGGCTGACGTCGTCCTCCTCGTCCTGATGGATCTGCTTTGTTATTTAATAATGCAGGCACTTCTGTGTATCCGAAGTTCTCAAAACCATGAAATGATTTTGTTTTACTCCTTTCTTTATAAAATTATGTTTGTGAGTTTAAGAATACATGAATTATAAAAAATAAAAAAAACTAATGAATTATTCGTTAAAAGGTCTCATTCAATGTGTGCAAAAAGTTTTTATTTATTTATTTATATTTATTTTTTAAATGTTGATGGTTTTATTATTCATAATTTATATACTTTGATGTGTTGTCACAACTTAGAGTGCTGAATAGAAATATCAGTAATATCTTCTCAGCTTCATTTACAGCAGCAAAAAGAGTTTGTCTAAAATCATTAATTAACATTTTTTTATATTCATATATATACATATATATATATATATATAGACATACATATATATGTTGAGGTTCCCAATTAATAGCTTCCGATGAATGACAATGTTGTGTTGGTATCTCATTCTAAATTACATGAATAATCCTTTAAAAGATATTTACATGTGTATTGTTTTTGCACTTTCAGTGGGATCTCAAATGTTGAATGTGTAGTACATCCTTAACTAGGAAGGTGTACAATAATTCTTGATAAAGCAACACATGAAAATATCTACCAAAGTCTTAAAGTTCTTATTGACTTTATGATAAATGCAAATGTATTACCACTTTTTTCAAATGCCTGCAATGCATATATTTTCATTGTTGTTGGTTGTATAAGTGATTAAAAAAAATTAAAAATCAATTTTTTTGTATAAAGTCTATTCAATATGCTTTAGAATCAATCTGTTGTTGCTATGTTTGCTCCAAATTCTGTTTTTCAATGGCATAGATCAAAATGTCAAAAATCCTCTGGTTCTTTCTTAGATTATCAAATACTAAAATACATAAAATGAGTTTTTTTAAAAATGTTACAATAGAGAGTACTTCAGTTTTTGTGAATATTCAAAAAATTGTATTCATTTAATAATTAATATAAGAAGAAATTATATAAATCTTAGATAGGGATATTGGATTAGCTATCAAGATTATATATAAATAACCAACCATCTAAACATATAATCTTTGAATATTTAAATAAAAAAGTCGCTTAATCTTATAGTTTGAACTATTTTTATTGAATAGAGATTTATGAAAAAGAATAATTTGACACAAATATAAATCCAACATTTTTCTGAAGTATGAAGAATACATTATAAAAATTGATATTAAAAAATTTGATTTATTTAATAAAATACTAATAACAATGTTATAATCAGCTTCTAATAGAATTCAATACTAAAAATAAAATCACAAAAATAATAATTATAGAATCTTAAGTCTTTGTAGAAATCTACTTGTAGCATTAAATATTATAAAATATATTTTATTGTTCATTAGAAACATTCAAATAGTATTCTAAATACATTATTTAATATTTTACAATTGATTAATTTATGACAAAAGAACTATAATTAGATAGAAATATTAATAATATTTTTATTGTTGCCAGAAAAGACTCAAAGCATAAAATATAAAATTTTAAAGTTTAATTAATATTAATAAAATAAAAATATAAACACTATATATTTAAAATACATAGACAACAGCAAACCAATGCTAGAAATAATCTAATATAAATCTAATTTAAAAACATGTAGTGTGTTGTAAGCTTCCAACTCTAAAATTTATAATTAATATAAGAATTGTAAATTGGTAGAACGCATTGACCAATATCGCATCTTAGCAAATCCTTTTACAATAATATTTGATTTTAAAATTTAAATTAAATGGCTATATTTTTTCTCTTATTTTTATAAAAATTTTACATATGAGACTAGTTTTTAATACTATAAATGAAGGTTATTATTAAAAACATATATATTTTCTAAAAATTATCTATAATCAAATAAATTAAATAAAATAAAAAATAGTAATCCTGATATGAAGTGCTATGATTTATGTTTAGACTAATAAATTGCAACAATAACTAAATACACTTATAAAACAAAATCTTAACAAGAAAAAAAATACAATAATTAAGCCTATAAAAATATATTTTAATGTACTATATTTTAAAACCTTGGTATTTATACTTAAAATAATTCATTGATTTTTGTTTCATAAAATATTTTAGCAACTTTAAAGGTCAAATTTTAGAACGATACTTATTTAAAAACGCTTTATTTTAATTGAAATTATTATGTATCTTTTTGTTAGTTTTTTTGCTTATTTTTTTGAATTTTAATAAAAGTACGATTTTTTTGATTTTAAATATATTCCACAAAGAGTTTTCTTGAAATCCCAAACTTTTAATCATAAAAATTATAAATTTTATTTCCCACTCTATTTTAATAAAACATTATCTCTATTTGAAAGTTTTTTTTAGATATCAGATGTTGTAATTCTTGTAAATAATTCATCCAAATTTTACTAATAATTATAAACCCCATTTTGTAAATAAATCATCTAAAACTTAGCAATAATCATTAAACCTCAAATTGCAATATATATATATATATATATATATATATCCTACCAATTTTAAAGTATAAGAACTTTTCATTACATTCAACATTTATTTCTTAAATATTGTGAAGAGCAAGGAAACTGAATTTGATCAACCCAAAGTTGGTACAACAAACCGGATGCATGCATAGAAGTAAGTCTCACAACGTGATTCTTCTTGACGGGGCTGAAAGCAAGAAAGGCAATGACAGGATTGGCAAAAGAGGTGATTCCATGCCTCTGCATGAGACTGAGAGAGAGAGTGAGAGAGTTGGGTAATTCAGTGCCCATCGGAAAGTGTGGCAACACTCGATCAGACACTGAGTCGGCGGTCCCGCAAGTCGGCCATAACTATCATTGTGGTGAGACTTACGTTATATATATATATATATATATGTATATAGATCTATGTATACACATGTAGACACAGAGAGAGAGAGGGAGAGAGAGAGAGAAAAGTCGAGGTCCTTTGCATGGAGACGAGAAAATATTATCTTATTGTCATGTATTACAAGGTTACAGACATGATTTATATACGTATCAAGATCCTTTTCTGCTATCTAATGTGCGCTGTTTTAGAGCAATTCTAGCCTGATGTATGACTTAGAGAGTTTTAAGGCAAAAGCAAATAACTTGTTTCCTACTTGCTAGCCTATTCCTTTGCAAATACAAGTTGCTGAGAAAGAGCGACGTGGACATTCATCTAGATTCCCTCGCACCTAGTTGTGAACATCATGAGGTGCGAATGTAATTAGTTTCAACACCCTCAGTCTCACCTTATGATGATACTATCAGTTCAACAAGTTTTAATGATAGTTATGGCCGACTTGCGGGACCGCGATAGCGTGGAGGAGGTTAAGGTGCGCATCCTGCATTAATTTCAACAACTGGTGTTGGTAAGTGTCTCTTCCCCTCAGTTTTCTGAAACAGTTTCTTCTATACTCTAGATTCTTCGTCCTTTATCTTCATCTTGGTGATGATGTTTGCAGTCGCAGGCATTTGCAGTTTTGGTATGGCTAGTGATAGATTTTGCACGTCGTTGCGTGAGTCTCGTTCAGTGGATTGTGGTTGTGTTGCTTCGGTGCTAGGGACTTCTTCTTTCGATGTCACAACCCAGAATCATCGTACTGCCAAGATTAACGATGTTGCATGTGATGAGACCTTGCTTCTTAGTCCACCTAATGGTATTGTGTCCAAATTTTTGTGGCGCAGGCTCCTTGTCTCTCGCGCTCCCTTCCTTCTATTTCAACTTCGGCATGTTTCCCAAGCGTGAAAGTGCTTGGTTGGAAGCTTCTTCAAGTGGCAAGTTGTTTCATTTTTTAGTATGGACAATCATGGTTATGTATAGCATTGTGAGTCAGAAAAGAAAAATCCTCTCCCTCTGACCTGCCGTTACAGAATTGAAATAGATAGGTTTAGAATTCTATTGGAGGAGGATTTGAGTGACTATTTGTTGGGAAGGAATTTCTTATCCTGTGAGAGCAATAGCGCTGATACGGAAGAAATAGCTTCTGGATGCAGTTCAAATGTGGGCTCTTCTGACGAGCACATTTACTGGTAGGAGGCTCACTCTGAGAGCTCTTAGAGGAGCTTATTCTCTTAGAGGAGCTCTTACACTCTTATTCTCTGTCTAAGTTGTTGAAAGGTCACCCTTCCCAACGGCTTGTAAATATATCGGCCTCTTGCTCACTTGTATGGATGTAGGTTATCTTGATGTCACATTCTTCAACCCTTTCTATAATGTAATGATGCTGCAACTTAATGTGCTTAGCTCTTGCATGCAGCACTAGGTCTTTGACCAACTTGATAGAACTTTGATTATCACAAAATACTTTTGTTGGCTTTGTTAGTCCCTCTCTCAACTCAGTCATCATCGTTCGCAGCCACAGGATTTCTCTCTCCGCATCAGAAAGAGCTCTGTACTCCACTTCTGTCGTGGAGAGTGCTACCGTAGGTTGCAGCTTGCTGCTCCAATGAAGTGGTGCCTCCTCTACTTTCCACAACAAGCCGGATGTTGATCTCCTCTTGTTCAGATCACGTCCCTAGTCTAAGTCAACAAAGCCTTGTAGATCTATCGCTGTGGCTTTCGAAAAGTTCACCCCAAAACTACTGGTTCCTTTGATGTAGCGGAGGATACTTGTAGCAGCATCAAAATGTGGTCGTTGAAGGGTTGATATGAAACGACTGAGGCAAGTGACATGGTAAGAAATATCAGACATGGTATGAATAAGATAAATCAAGCTTTCAATCAAGCTCTAATACTTGTTTATCTCCACCAAATCTGCTTCTATATTCACGTGGAGTTAACTACTTTTATCAGGGTTGTTGCGGGGGCACCATTCATCATCTTGAACTTCTTGAGGAAATTCAATGCATAGGTCCTCTTGAGCAGCAGTATTCCATGCGGGAAACGAACAAATTCGACTCCAATATAAATGGTGAGTAACTCCCAACTTTGACATTTCAAATTTGTTTTCAAGTTTGTGCTGAAGTGCATCAATGCGAGTTGCATGATTACTAGTAATTAATAAATCATCAACATAAATTAGAACTATCATGGTTAGCTCACATTCCTGACAGAAGTACAAATTGTGATCTACTTCACTTTTGACCATTCCAAAATCAATCAGGAACATATGGATTTTGATGTACCAAGCCCGACTAGCTTGCTTAAGGTCAAAAATCGCTTTCTTACGCAAACAGACCTTACCTTGATCCTCTTATTGCAAAAGACATAGACCCTGAGGCAGCTCCCTGTGCACTTCCTCCTGAAAATCTCCATTCAGGAATGCGGTTTTAATATTTAGATATCAAAGTTTCCAATCTTTCTTTGTCGCCATGATCACAACGAACTTGATGGTTGGCCAGTTAATCGTTGAGGCAAAGGTGTCTTGATAATTGATACCTTCCCTATACTTAAAACCTCGGGCAACAAACCTTGCCTTGAGCTTCTATACTATACCATCGGCGGTCAGCTTTGTTTTAGAAATCCATTTCGAGGTAATAGTTGATTTGCCCTCTGGCCTGTGAACCACCTCCCGGGTGACTTCTCGCTTCCTCAAAGGCGTCAAGATCTTTTAAATCCACTACGTATATATAATCTTCAAAGCACACTGGTAGCCTTCTTACTCAGGTTGACCTCTTGTTTTGGATCATGGGTGATGTATTCGACAAAGTCATTTGTGTGCTTGATGTTGAGGCCAAAGTTAACTTTTGATGATCATCTGTAGATGGTTCCAGTTGAGACTGCGAACTAGCATTCTCTTTTGGAGGCGCGACTTTGTTGATTCAGGTGAGATTTAGCCTTGTACTCTCTCCTAGTGGTTGCGGTGGCATGATTTGTTTAATACTCAGGACTGTTTTGTCAAAGACGACGTCCTTACTTATCACTGTTTTCATTGTCCCAGGGGTTAAATAACATGTACGTTTTTGTAGTTAGATCATAACACAAAAAAACAGCAAATAGATTTAAGCTGGATTTTGTTTCTTTGATATTGTGGAATGTAAACATATGCCAACAATCCAAAAATCCTAAGATGATTGACTGCGGGTCTGATTCCAATGTACCTCTCTTTTGAAGTGACACCGTTGTTGCTGCGTGAGGGGCATCGATTGATCAAGTATGTGGCCTTGTTAATTGCCTCCGACCAGAGGTATGCGGGCGTGTTGCTGGCAAAAGTCATGGGTTTGGCTCATTCGAGGAGCGTTCTATTCTTACGCTCCGCAACTCCATTTTGGTACAGAGTGTAAGCTTGAGTTTTTTTGTGGACAATACTGTTACTGGTGCAGTATGCTTTGAACTCCATCAATGTAAACTCCCTTCCTCGGTCTGCTCTAATTATTTTGATGAAATCTTCTGTTGCATTCTCTATCATATAAAATCTTTGAATATTTGGAGAGCTTCTGATTTCGATTTAAGAAATAAGTCCATGTCTTCCTCAAATGATCGTCGATGAAGGTCATGAAAAATCATGATCCGGATAAGGACTATGTTGGTATTGGCCCGCAGAGATCCGAATGTATAATTTCGTTTCTCTGCGCGGCCCTACTTGCTGATTTCTTAGAGACGTTGGCCCTCCTATGATATCCTTCCATGCAGTGTGAGCATGGTCTTTCTACCACAGTCCTTCTACCGCAGTTGTCATCCCCCGGAGAGTTTTGTGATTGACATGACTTAGTCTAGAATACCACAAATCAAGTGAGTTTTGTTCATCAATAAAACAAATGTGAGTTTCTAAGCTAACGGAGTTTAACCCATGTAGCCCATTGGCGGCGTCCCAACTTTCTCGAGCGATAACTTTTGATGGATCAAAAGCGTTCACAATCATTGATAGTGTGTTGGGCCAAATGTTATAATACAGCCTTGGTCCGTGATGCTATCTACAGATAACAGATTTTTTGTGACACCAAGAACGTACAAAACATTGCTAATCTTCTTTACTTGTCCATCAGATTTAAAAAATACATTTCTTTTTCCTAGTATTGAATGAGAAATTCCACTTGATCAGCAAACATTAGAGTCTCCAATTGTTTTCAACTCAAACATTTTGGATGGATCCCTCGTCACGTGCTTTGTAGCACCGGAGGTTAAATACCGACTAGCAATGTCGTTGTTGTTGATATCAATGTCGTTGTTGTCGACATCATAGCGGCCTCGAACATTTCAGAAGCCTTCATTGGCTCTTCCGTCATTGTTTCTTCTTGCAGAGCATGAGCTTGTGTTCTGTGCTCCGATCGACGTCTAAATTGAGATTTGTATTGTTCTTGTTGGTGTATTGGTGGTTTGACGCATTCCCTTGCGAAGTGGCCCCGAACTCCACAGTTGTTGCAATGTCCTCTCCGCACAGTTCTAAAATATTCTGGGGCTTTGAAGTTCGCTGATCCACCTCTTATCATTTTTGCTCTTGAGGTGTTGAAAATAAGTTCTTTGTCCTCTGTAGAATGTGCCTATATGCTTTGTTGCTTTCACTACTGAAAGTGCTTCATTTTGATTCCCATCGCCCTCCCTTCTTGCTTCTTCCAATAGAAGTTTGCCACAAAGTTTCTCAAACTTGGGCAGCTCGTCCTGACACAATACGACTTGAACAAAAGCGTCATAGCTTTTTGGTAAGGCTCCGAGCATGATCTGAACCACCCTGGTGTCTTGTACTAGGTCTCCAACACTCGAGAGTTGGGTGACCAGCTCCTTTACTCACTTGATAAAATACTCCGTAGTGGTACCTTCAGCCATCTTGATATTTCCAAGATTTTTGCTGAGATGAAGAGCTCTTACTCCGTTCGTAGCTTTGAAGATATTCTTGAGTGTGTTCCAACACAACAAAGGGTCTTCACTTTCTGAGACATGGTGCAACACATTGTCTTTTAGTGAGAGTATTAGAATCGTTAAAGCTCTATCATTTCCCCTTGTTCTATCTCAAGTGTGATCTCTCCGAGCTCCACAATAATTCTAAATTCTTGTGGGCAGACATAATGCCAGAGTTCCTTCTTTCTCAAAATGGTTCTTATCTTTATCTTCCATTTCCCATAATTGGAGGTACCTTCAAGCTTGTTGGGGTCAGTGATGGAAAAAGATCCTTTAGTAGTCATTTCAACAAATTTTAGTCCTCTCTCTGTCTAGATGTCGAACTAATTTTCTGCAGTTGTGATCTTGCCTTCTATAGCAATCTATAATGGTTTCAAAAACTTCGATCAATACGTTCACTCGACAACAAGCTTTGCTCTGCTATGCAAGTCGGTTCCTCCACTCAATTGTGATCTTCAGTCGACTCCAAGCTTCGCTCAGCGGTGCAAATCGGTAGCTCCACTCAATCGTGATCCTTAGTGAAGCAGGCACCTTCGATTACTTTCAATCAGCTTGCATGGGTCTCAAAGAAACACTTTCTTCGACTCAATCAAGAAAAAATGTAGATTAGTTGCTAATGCAACAACTACATATTCGACAACATCGTTCTGATATCAAGTAGAAACCAAGGTTCTTTGCATGGAGACGAGAAAATGTTATCTTATTGTCATGTATCACAAGGTTATAGACGTGATTTATATACGTATCAAGATCCTTATCCACTACCTAATGTGCTCCGATTTAGAGCAATTCTAGCCTTAAGTATGACTAAGAGAGTTTTAAGGCAAAAGCAAACAACTTGTTTCCCACTTGCTAGCCTATTTCTTTGTGAATACAAGTTGCTGAAAAAGAGCGACGTGGACATTCATCTAGATTCCCTAGTTGTGAACATCATGAGGTGCGAACTTAATTAGTTACAACAATATATATATATATATATATATATATATGTGTGTGTGTGTGTGTATATGAAGTAGATGCCGCTTATCAGTGCCACAAGTAGACCAGGGCCGTGTTTCCTCCAGTTCGCAACACCGATAGCCCTTGCAGATTGGCCCTCCACTGGCACACTTGAATGCACAAGTAGCCGGGGCCTCCTGATGCAGGAGACCTCCACATCACGAAGGAGCCCTGAGGTCCCTCGGATTGGAAGCTGCATGCCCACTGCAAGTGCTGCTTCGTGTCGAAATCGAACTGCAGACTGGCTCCCGCCACCGCGTGGAATGACGGTTTCTTCTCCACGTTTGATTCGCAGATGATGGTTACTTGATATGGCAGATTGTTTTTTATGCTCATAATGCCATGATCCGTTCCTGGTTGGCTCAGTTGCCCTCCCACGACGATGCACAGGGATGAGACTGCAAGAGCTGCCGCAAAAAAACTGCCGAAGCCCATCATGGAACTTGTATCCGGCATCTTCAACGGAGGATAGCAGCACAGGAGCTGTTACGAGATGATTCTGCACATTCGGCGTTTCAATTTGAGCTTCTCAAATCGAAGAAAAAAGAATTGCAAAAAAAGAAACGAAAACGAACCTTCAGAGAGCTCCGAAACTAACAACTGGAACATGATCCATGACAAGCTAGGCATCGTGGTTTGCAAACGAAAGAGCCATGAAATTTAAAAACTCGGGGCTGATCATGTCTTCTCCAAACAAAGATCTCCTCGGGTACGCTCTGAACACACAATCCCAAGATCATGAAGTGAAGACCTTCGAGCTACTTAGAGCTATGTGGGAGATCTGCTCGAAACCATTGCAAACCTGGAACCACGCCAAGCCAGAGAAGGACCAACAAGAGCAGAGAGAGAGAGAGAGAGAGAGATAAATAAAAATAAATAAAAATAAAAATAAAAAATTGCAAGAGTAATGTCTCCGAAGAGAGCGTGGAGGTTGGTCACCAACCTGGCTGCGGCGATGGTTGCAAAATGGGTGCAGGCATCCTTTGTATGCAAGATCCAGATGCGGATATTCATCTCGGTCTCCATCAAGCACAATGCCGACACCATCACCTCCCACTCACACATTTCCTTGTCAACCGGCGTTGCATCAAGGCAAGTCAAGTCAATGCTGCTCCAGTGACTTGTTCATATCGTCATGCAGCGGTGGTTAGTTTCAGGAAAAAAGGAATCACCATTCTACAGCTAAAACGAAAACAACATATCATGAGGGAGGTGAGTCCAAACCTGCAGTACGAAGCAATTTTTCTGATGAAGACGTGGGTGATCTCTTTAGAGAATTGTGGGACTATGCCACAATTCTGATGGGTGAGGATTTTCTGATGCTATGAACCATCTCAGTTGATGCAGAATTCGCTACGCCGCATCTCATCACCCACTTGCTGGTCACATTCTCATCCTCCATTCTCCGTTTTGCTTCATTGATTACTGTTCTTCTGGTTATTGTTCAAATTTTCATTGAAATTTGCATTGATTTCTTCAATTGGGTCTCTCATATTCAAATGATTCAGAAACCCTTCCCCGAAGCAGGTGTTTGGCCTTTATTGTGTCTTGTATCAGAAGTGGTCGATGTTCATTTTCTGATATTTATAACTGTAACATGGATGATTTTTTGGTTTAGTTCCCTACGTCTTTAAAAACATTGTTTATTTGGTTATAGATTTTGTTTTATTATGGTGTGTATTTATTCATGACTGTTATCTTTGCTTTCATGAATTAGTATCTATATATTTATAGTGGTGCATATAGATTTCATACTTGTAAGTGGTTTTTTCAATTTTATTTATAGGTTGCAATAGAGTTATAACTTGCTAAAGACTTTTTATTTTATTTTATTTTATTTTATTTTTTTCTTCTTAATTCTTTTTAATATTTTTACATAAGATGATATCCTAACTGACATAGTTATATAATTTTGTTCAATAAGTGTAAGTCTAGGCCTCAGAAAACAAGTTTTACCACAAGTCTAGGTACTTTTGTTATCTTTTTTACATTTATTTTTATTTTATAATGTATTATTTATTCTTTAATAAAAACATTAATTAATTTTTCTTTATATTCATAAGCTCTAAATAATAATGATAATATTTAAAATCTAATTTAAATATTAAAAAAATTTAAAGCTTAATTAATTTTACATTATTATTTTAAAATGGTTTTATACAATTAAGAGATTTCAAAAATATGAGGCATGAATTTTTATTTAATTACACTAGATTTAAATACAAACATATATATGGAATATATATATGTTTGTATGTATACAAGAATTGTGCATTTTCAAGTTTTAAAGATATTAATTAAATTACATCAAGACTACACATCTATTTGCTGAAAAAATAAGGGATTCTTAAAATTAAAGATCTAAAATTACCAAAAATGCATGAAAAATATACATTTTAAAATAAATAAATGAATAAAAATCATTTTTTTCAATACTTCTTTTACTAGAAACATGATTAATTATTAAGTCCACTAGGATATATATATATATATATATATATATATATATATAAATA